GAGTAAGCCAATACTTGCACCACAGCTAGTCATAGAATTAAAGGAGAATGTCCATGTGCTCCGAAGACTGTGGTTCAAGAACTGGCAATAGCTCTCAGTCCTAGCATTTGCTAGCAATTCTAGAATCATTTTTGCTCATTTGTTCCTCTCTACTGTTCTAAGGCAAGTCTTGTTTTTAAAAAAAGAGATGACTAGCAATGGTGTTGCTGCCATTCAAAAGCTGCAACAAAAATTGGACTATAGTTTTATTTCATTGGTTTGATCTACCCCACAGTGACAAAGTAAAAGACATCTAACCTTGCAAACTGAGTGTTTTTAATCTGAATTCCATGCCATAAAGGATGACAAAGCAGTGAGACTGTTCTGGGCGGAAACAAGAATCTTCCTGGTATCGGTCAAAATCTCTGGAATTCTTTCCCTGACGAATTTCTTGGATTTCACGAATATCAACTGTTGAAAGAATAATAAGAGGAAAGGAATAAAATTAAGAACAAAAGTACTTTGTAGTTGAAAGCACAATGGGAAATGCCACAGCTTGATAAACACTGATAAACAACATTATGTGACAGTATCATGCAGTTACAAAACATGGTCTTCTATTTGCAATATTAAGTTTACTGTTACTTAATCATCAGATATTGGGACTTTTTCTTTGCTTGAGGAGAGATCTCCACCTGAATTACCCTTCCTCTTTGTAAGATATGTGTATGAAATGCTGCTTTCCAATTAAAGCATTTCAAGTATAATCCCAGATTTATATTTATTTGAGTTCTATGATCAACATTTAAGAAATGTCATTACTTTATGAACTTTGGGGTGGTAGTAAGGACTTGCATGACACTCTATGGAATTTAAAGAAGCAGGATAGGAAGACTACTGACTCTTTTGAACTTTGGTGATGGAGAAAACTCCTGAGAATTCTGTGGACAGACAAGTAAACAATCAAATGGATTGTTCACCAAATCAGCTTAGAGTTGTCACTCAAGGAACAAATAACCAGGCTTAAATTATCCTACTTCATAAACATTAAGCAAAGACCTAGATTTCTGGAGAAGGCTCTAATGTGGGAAAGGTAAAAGGAAAGGGAAGAAGAGGATGACCAAAAGCAAGGTGGATGAACTCAACTACAGTGGTGATGGGTATACCATTGGAAGGCCTGAAAAACCAAGTTAGGGACGGCTCACGATGAAGAAAATCTATCTATGTGACAACTAAGAGTCAATGGCTTGACAAGTACATAATCAGTCAAGGAAGGATTTGCAAACAAACATTTATAAGATATATTTAATTTCTGGCACAGCAAAGTATACAGATGTAAGTCATACAGTAAATATGACTGAGTAAGAAACAGCAGAATACTCAAGAAGAATGAGCTGTAAATAATGTTGGGCCAAAACAACAAAAATTTATCTAGGCTAAAGTTACAGTGCTGATGCAATTCAATTCATTCATATATTCAAAACTATTTTGTCTACTGAGGGCCCTATCTTGAATCCAAAATCTATCCTGAAATTCCTATCTGAATTATAATTCACTCCAAGTAATTCTAATTCTAAACTGCACAGTGAACAATTAACATCATTGGCTGAGAGACAGTGACTGACCCAAAGTCACCCAGCAGGTTTTCATGTTGATTTGGCAAAAAAGCGGACCCTGCACTTGCAGGAAAATGCTAAGAAAAAAAACAACTGTACATGAAAAGTCCTGGCACCACTAGAGGTCACTGTGGCAAATCCCAAACTGATAGCAAAGAATATTTTCATTAGAAAAAAAGAAAGGGAACATCGTGGGTAACAGATAATTTTTAAAAGTCTCCTAGGAACAAAACTACTGGGGGAGGGGGGAGAAGACTAGTTTTATGAAAATAACAGAGAACTCAAAGCTTGTTTTCTTTGTTTGCTATATGAACAAATGCAAGTTCAATGAACAAATGCAAGTTAGCACTTTTACCTCACAATGGATATTGTTGATTATATGTTTGCTATTAAGACTAAATATCTACACATTTAAGTAACTGCAACTCACATACACACTATATACAATTTCTAGCCCAGAGATAGTCTTCTTTGGCCTCCTATCCTAAATTCCAATATGAACATTTGTTTTATTGCTCCATGAAGCAACTCCATGCATTTACGTTCAGCAAAGTAACAAGCAGATTAAATAAAATTAATTCTAGATTTACTTAAATTCAGCATGATAAAACTTAATAAAACTTGAGGAATAGTATGGGAAAAATGTGAAAGGCAGGAAAGAAAGAGGAACCAAAGCTGATGTAAGACACAACATAGCGTCCTTTTCTGCTACAGAAGAAGCTCAACCACCTTTTCCTTCCTAAAAAGGAATCACTTCCCTCAGCCCTTCCGTATGTTCACCCATCCATAGATTCTCCATTTCCTGGACTGCAATGAATCTTTACACCTCGGCCATTTTGTCTCTGGAACAATTTAGAAAACTGAACTTTTCTGGAAAGTGAAACTCAAGAACTGAATATAGGTAGTCCTCAACTTACAGCCGCAATTGAGCCCAAAATGTCTGTTGTTAAGCGAGACATTTGTTAAGTGAGTTTTGCCCCATTTTATTACCTTTATTGCTACAGTTGTTAAGTGAATCACTGCAGATGTTAAGTTAGTAACATGGTTGTTAAGTGAATCTGCCTTCCCCATTGACTTTGCTTGTAAGTAGGTCGCAAAAGGAGATCACATGACCCCGGGACACTGCAACTGTCATAAATATGAATCAATTGCCAAGTGTCTGAATTTTGATCACGTGGTTGTGGGAATGTTGCAATGGTCACAAGTATGAAAAATGGTCATCGGTCACTTTTTTCAGTGCCATTGTTAACTTCGAATAGTCATTAAATGAACTGTTGTAAGTTGAGGACCACCTGTATTAAGAAGCACCACTTTTTTCTTTTCTAATCCAGATTGGTTTTTCTTATCTCCTTGAGCTAGCATTTTTCTTTTGCTTGCTTTCAATGACCATTCAAAAATGTTCAGTTTGCAGTGACTCCTGCTTTGTATCTTGCCTTCAAGACTGAGTATAGATTAGAAATAATCTTACAGTTCATTAGGTTTCAAGAATCCATATTTTTCCTTATTATAACTTTTCATTGGAACTCAAATTTTCAGCATCGATTTCTCATAATCCCAGGGGCTCCATCTAACCGACAGGAAATAATTAGGAAGCAATCTAGCTTGCTTCTGGTGATTGAGAAGATAATTCTCATTCCTTGCTATCTCTTCCAAGTGGATAATTTATCTCGGAGTTGTAGTCTTTCTTCATGAATACAGACAGAATCATGTAGTGATGAAAGTGTTGGACTGGCACCAGGCAAACACAGGTTCAAGTCTATTCTGGGGCATAGAAGCTCATTGGCTGACTTTAGGCCAATCACTTTTTTCAGCCCAACCGCTTGGTGTGGTTGTTGGGGGGCAAAGTAGGAGATGCCACTACATCTTTTGGGAAGCTCCAAAGGGATCTGCAGTGAGTTACAAGAGGTCAGTTACATCCCAATATTTGGTTAGGTCCTTGTAGGCTTATTAAGGCACTCCAAGCCTGACTAGTCCCGTCTGACACCTTTGACAGAAGGTCAGGATCTCTATAAGAAATCATTGCACTAGTTATATTGCAGAATTAAAGATGACAAATAAAAATAAAGCCAGAAAAAATTCAGTATATGAAGCTCCTTACTGACTCACCAACAAAATAAAGTAGAATTCCTATCCTGATCAGAAGTAAGTGAAGGTAAACTCAGCCCTTCAGCTTTGTTTTCATTTGTCAAATAACTGGTTGATGGTATTTCATGTATATTTTTAAGAGTTCTGCGTACATAGCTTCAAAGGATTCCCAAGCACTCTACAGAAGCCTTTGAACTAGGCTCCTCATGTACCTTCTGTTGAAATATTTCATTCTAACCTCAACGTTTATAAATAAGTGTACACTAACACATTTTGGAAATACAAATGTTGTTTAGTGTTTGTTTTTAGCATGTTACAGAAACTAGGAGTTTAAATATAACTTCTTTTCCTGAAAGAGAAAAGTGTACCATAGTATTTATTTTCTACTTTAGAGTATAAGGGTTTTGTTTGGTTTCTTTAAAAAAAAAAACTTGATCCAGTCCAGATGCGCTAGTCCTTCCCATCAGTATATCTAACTAAGCGGCAGCACCTAACCAGCTCTGGCTAAACTTGAAAAGTTAAGCAGGGTTGATGTGGTTAATATTTGGATCGTAAACCAACAGAAAACATTTCATATAAGAAGACAATGATAAACCACTTCCATATTATTACTAAGAAAACTGTACAGGTGTGCTCATGAAGCCACTAGCTTGACTTCAACGAGATGTTCCTTTTTTCACCAAACATTTGTTGAGTTTACAACTGTCAGCTTCTGAACTCAGAATTGGGAATTCTAGAAATTGCACCCAACATATGTGGAGATTAGCTAAGATTTAGAAAGTAAATACAAGTAATTAAACTTGTTCCAAAACAATACTTCAACTGGAGAAGTTAATGTGACAAAATAAAGTCAGACTGTCTTAAAAGAAAGATGGACTAAGGAAGTGGGGGAAGGATTCCTATCTGATAATAATGCTACTTTTCCCCATCTGGTTCTCAAAGTAGCTTCTATACACAGATGTGGCAGAAAATCAGACACTTCTCTGAACTGTGTATCTGTGAGAGACTAAACTGGGTAGTGCTCTACATGTTGCCACATGTGTGGTTCAAACTTCCTCTCTATATTTCATAGCAGAAAGTGAGCATCTGTACTGTAAATAAAGTATTTTGGATTTCAATTACAAAATCAGTTATGTCTCTCTTATGTGCAAGAAGATCTACTTACTGAGCTCCATGTGCCTGGGAAATGGAAGACTGTTTATTTCTAAAACCACAATACTGGCTTTCTCCATCAAGAATGTCATCTCTCCTAGACATGATATTTTTGTGAAGGGGACACCTATTGCTTATATACACGGAGTCATAACAAAATGATAATACATAAGCACTACTGCCAATTTTTTTTTCCTTCCAAACTCCACTTGCTTGAGCCTCTGAGATAAATCATACAAAAAACCCACAATGTGGGCGATCATATCCTTTTGCTTTAACTAAATCAATCACAATCAAGCATGAAGTTAATGGGTAGTGCATCAGCAATTAGATTTAATTACTGGGTTTTCACATGTTCTATACTGAGCTAAAATGAAGCTGGGTAAGTTGTTATATAAACCAAGCCATTATCTTAGTATGTTTTATGAATCAATTAAACTGTAGTATGTGAACTTAGCAAGTATGTTTTGTTAAGAAGGGTTTAAGGTTTACCATGTTGCATTAATAAAGTCAGTGTCCAGAAGTAGAATCAGTTATTCTTCTGGGTACAAAAAAAAATCCTCTCTTTCACTTTGCTTGGAGGACACAAGCAATGAGACCAGATGAACAACAGAGTGA